GAAAGAGAAGTGAAGAGATGAATTTTTTTAATGACTCGCACGAGACGGTGCGAAGTTCTATTGATAGAGCAGGAAAAAATTACAAGATTACAACCCTGGAGGATCGTAACCAGGAAAAAGAAAAAAGGATACCACCACCCACACACCGACATTGCCAACGAACAAGCCCAGGAGAAGGCTAGCACCAGAGCGGCTGCCGCTAAGCGTGACCGACCGCCACTACACCAACAAAGGGACACAAACAAGATCGCCCCCTAGGGGATGCCAAAACGACGTCTCCAAGAAGAGAAGCAACGGAAAAACTGCCGCCGCCGTCCGTCGGGACTCAGCCAAGACTGGGCTTTCACCCAGCAATCACCCTTGAGGGGTGAGACAGCACGACAACGCCCATAGGAGGATCGTTGTCGGTCCGGCCAAGGCCGGACTGGGTTTTCACCCGCCGCTCACCGGCTGCGAATCCACGGCTGACGCACCGATGCTCCACCACCACACAAACTCTGCCAACATGTGGGACCCCTGCACCGGCGTCCCCCGCCGGCCAGCCTTCGTGCGCCGAAGACCACGCCACATCCACCGGCAACTCCTCCTCACACCTAGGTCGCCTCCTCCACTGCCGGCCGCGCCTCTCGCGTCAAGCCGGCTTCCTCCACCGGACGCGCCTCTCGCGCCAATCCGGCCTCCCTCCATCGGCCGCGCCTCTCGTGCCAAGCCGGCCTCCATCTCCGCCGCCCGCGCCTCTCACGCCGAACCGGCCTCCGCTGCCATCGGCTGCGCCTCTCTGCGCCAAGCCGGTCTCCGACCCCTCCACCGAACGATGCCGCGCCGGCTAGAAGCAGCCGTCTCCCACGCCCTCGGCTAGCCGTCCGAGGCCGTCATGCCTCCGGTGACCGCAGTCGCGGTCACCACCACCACAGCCGCTGCTGTCGAACGCCCAGCCACTCACACCCGACTCCTTCCCCGCCGCCGACGTCACCACCGCCTCCACAGTCACGGCCGCCGTCGCCGCTGCCACCAGCGCCAGTCACCACCTCCGCAGACCGCTGCTGCACCGTCGCTCTCCGCCACCAAGGAGCCAGCAACGCCCCGACGCCGCCGCCATGCCCTCCGCCGTCGTCACCAGCCGATGCCGCCGCTGCTGTTGTCGCCAGCCGACCACCAAACCCGGCCACCCCTCGACCGCCGTCGTAGCCACCGCACCTCCGTCTCCAGCGTCTCCGCGCCGTCACGCCCGTCGACGCCGGATCCGGCCGCCTCCTCAGCAGTCGTCGTCTGGCTCCACCGCCGCCAGTTCCGGCCGCTGTGGCATCGGCACCGCCGTCGCCGTCGCCCTGAGGACGCCGACCTCCTCCGCCGGCGCCAGACCCCCACCGGGCACCGTCGGAAACCTCCCCGCCAGATTCGCGTCAGATCTGGCGGCCTCTTCCACCGCCGCCAGCGCCTCCAAACCTCCGCCGCCATCCCCGCCAAAGGCCGCTCCCGAGCACACTGCCCCGCCGCCGGCTTAACTCAACGAGAACTCTGGCTGGCCGGCGTGGATCTGGGCGGTTTCTGCCTCCCGACGCCGGCAGACCTCCCCCTGCCCTTGTGCGGCGAGACGAAGCGAAGCCCAGCCGCCGCCGTCCTTGCCGCCACGCGGCTTTGCCGGCGGCCACTCGGGCGGCGGCGAGGCGGAGGAGGAGGGAGGGAGGGCGGGCGACGGCGGCCTGGGCGCCTCCCGTGCCGCCCGAGAGGAGACGACACGAGAGGAAAAGGTCCGCTATACGCCCCCTCAAGAGGTGAATAGATAACTTATAGCCTAGCAGGCGATGGATCATTAGATTGCATTCTATGTTTCTCTTTATCTTTCTGGTTTGAGCTTGAGAATGTATTTTTCGGTTGGTCTTGAACTCTTGAAGTCACACCTGGATGGATGGGTGTTTGGTATTCTCGTTTCCTTTTACCCAACTCATTTTATTTATGAATGATAATGTAATTTTGATAATTTAGTTATCCAAAAATTGTGGGATAAAATCCTTATTTGACTCCTAAAGTTGACCTCCATTCTCTCATTGGCATGTGGATCCATGACTAACATGTCAGTAAATTATCATGGAAAAAATTTCAATTAGAGTTGCTTGTAGTTATTTTGCGCATCATGAGCAAATAGTATTTATGTACATAAAAGAATTTCTTAGTGCATCAACAATCAGATGGTTTTGAGTGAAGATATAAAAGTTACGATGCAATTTTGCGCACATGGTTGTCTTTAAAATATAACAATTCTATCGTTCAATCTTTACGTGAATTTTAAATTTATCTAATTATATTTTTTATTGTGCTAACATATGACAGTCTTTGGTTTAATTTTACCGTAGCGTTAGCACGGACAAGTTACTAGTATTAAAGGTTCAACAATATATTTGAACATACAAAATTACAAGAAATAAACATAATATTCATAAAAAATTACAAAAATTACATGCAAAAAATATTTATATACTTAGATAAAAATAAATTAAAACCATATATAACAATAAAATTGCAATTAAAAATATGTTAACTATAATATTACAATCATACCATCTAAATGCTAGGCTTTGTTATATATAATTTTAGGTGGCTAAAATTTTAGGAATCACTAAAAAAATATCTTAAATTTTTTTTAAAGAACTTTCAAATATAATAGTTGTAGAGTTACACTAAAGTTACATTATAGTTACATTTACATTGTAATATCTATATAACTTAGGTATAATACATATTTCTTTACATACATACAAGTTAATATAACTAGCATGGTGGCCCGCGCAGATTGCGTGGCTAGCATCATTATATTTTCTCTCATATAATAGCATATATGTTTTCTCATTATATTATTCAAATATATTAAAATGAAAACATAATTTTAAATTTTGCAATAACTTTACAAAACTACTAATGTGTAATATTCATATTATATTTTATATACGTGTTAGTTATTAATTATTTTTAATATCAAATTTTAGTTATTTGTAAATTATATATATTCCTATATGTACTCTAGACTCGTCTTTTAATACTTCTTTTTTTTAATTCTGAATTTTCTGTAAATTGTATTTCTATATAGACTGTTTGCTCTTCTTTCAATATTATTTATTTTTATTTCTGAATTGTTATTATTACTAATTGCATTTATATGTGGACTCTAAACTTATCTTTCAATATTCTTTAATTTTAATTTCGAATTTCAGTTACTTCTAAATTGTATTTCTATATTTGTATTCCTATATTGACCTTAAACTCTTCTTCCCATGTTATTCTTAATCTCGAATTTCGAATTTTAGTTATTTGTAAATTGTATTTTTATACATACTCTAAACTCTACTTTTAATTTTATTATATTTATTCCAAATTTTAGTTAGTTTTGAATTCCTATATGGACTCTATACTCTACTTCTAATATTCCTTATTTTTTTAATTCTGAATTTCTACTTTTTTCTTAATTGTATTTCTATATGGATTCTATACTCTACTTCTAATATTCCTTATTTTAAATTGGGTGAATAGCTAATATGCTCCCTGAAGTTTCACTTCGGGCTCAGTTTAGTCCTTGATGTTTTAAATCGTCCAAACAAGTCCTCTAAATTAATCATTTGGGTTAATATAGTCCTTGGACCCAAAAAAGTGCCACAAATTAATTATTTGGGTTAATATAGTCCTTGGACCCACAAAAAGTGCCACGTGAGCATGTCAAGTCATCCTCGCATGTAGCGGTATGAATGAAATGAACATTCTACCCTTATATACCATATAAAAAAGAAAACAAATATTTCACACATGTATGGACATTTTAGAATTGTCACTTACGATTGCTGCAGCCTAATCGTATAAATTCCTTTGTCGGCCACCCTCCGCAACAATGTTGGGCCTAGGTTAGCTTGTTTTTTTTGTCTTTTATTTCTTTTCTATATAGTATATAGGGGTAGAATAGTCATTTCATTCATATCGCTGCATGCGAGGATGACTTGGCATACTCATGTACCATTTTTTTTGGTATAAGGACTATATTAACCTAAATAATTAATTTGGAGGACATGTCTAGACGATTTGAAACCTGACTAAACTGAGCCTGAAGCGAAACTTTAGGGACCATATTAGCTATTCACCCTTTTTAATTCCAAATTTCTATTATTTCCTAATTGTATTTCTATATGGACTCTATACTCTACTTCTAATATTCCTTATTTTTAATTCCGAATTTCAGTTATTTCCTAATTGTATTTCTATATGGACTCTATACTCTACTTCTATTATTCCTTATTTTTAATTCCGAATTTAAGTTATTTCCTAATTGTATTTCTATATGGACTCTAGTCTCCTCTTCTAATATTCCTTATTTTTTAATTCTGAATTTCAGTTATTTCCTAATTGTATTTCTATATGGACTCTAGTCTCCTCTTCTAATATTCCTTATTTTTAATTCCGAATTTCAGTTATTTCCTAATTGTATTTCTATATGGACTCTAGTCTCCTCTTCTAATATTCCTTATTTTTTAATTCTAAATTTCAGCTATTTCCTAATTGTATTTCTATATGGACTCTAGTCTCCTCTTCTAATATTCCTTATTTTTAATTTAGAATTTCAGCTATTTCTAAATTGTATTTCTATATGGACTCTGTTTTTTCTTTTTCTCCGATTAATGTGAGAATTTCTAGGCCATGAGAGCGAACGTGGAGGCTCATTTTTCTATTCCTTTAATAATATAATAGATAGATAGTTATATAATAATTATAGTAGAGGTAGTATATTATAACCGTACAATAAAGTTTCACTCAGTTTTTTAGTTGTCTCGAAGTTTTCTCAGGTGTCTTAAATTTAGCAATACCTTGCAATTTGATAAAAGATTTTCTACGGCTCGAATTCCTTTTCCTGTTTTATCGACCACGATTTTTAGGATCTTATATGTTAGATTTCCTTCCATAGTCAAGAACTTTTTTTCTGTACCATTAATTGGAGGGTTTTGTCCAAATTAATTGTATTGTATGGCAGATACTGAACATTATTAATGGTTAAAACACCTGGAGGTGACTTAAAACAAGAGAATCATGTCATTAACGACCGCTAGCTTCCTAACTTCAGGTACGGTTGGGGAACGGCGACAATCGGACTGCGCATGACATGTTTCCCAGACACCCAACTCAAGCTTCCCTCCACCACCTCGCCGCCGCCGCCGCCGCCACTCACCGTCACGCTGAAGCCCTTCTTCTCGCCGACACCGGAGAACACCAGCTTCTCCGGCGACACACGCATCGTCAGCGACCTGGGTATCTCCAGCTTCATCGTGTAGGTCGACCTGGCCGGCCCGACGTTCGTCACCGTCCGGTTCACCGTGAACGGCGGCGGCGCCGCCGACGACGACGACCGCGGCAGCGGCACCGTGATGGTCGGGTAGTTGAGCTGCGCCTCCGGTATCTTGTTCTTGTCCAGCTTCCCGCAGCTCAAGCTCTCGTTGCGCACGATCGTCCCCAGCCCGGCGTCTCCGAGCAGCGCGCAGATGTAGCCGGCGTAGTCAGCGACGGCGATGTCGTACACTAGGCCTGGGTCGGCGGCCCTCGCCGGGTTGATGTGGCCGGCGCCGGTGAGGAACGCGGTCGCCCTCTCGTGGTGTTCGTCCAGGATCGGGTTGCCGGCGCCGTCGACGGCGTCGGACGTCGTCAGGATGGCTGACTTGATGGCGGCCGGCAACCAGTCCGGGTGGCGGCTCTTGACGAGCGCCGCCACGCCGCTCGCGTGCGGGGTCGCCATGGACGTCCCGGATATGACCTTGAAGAGCCCGCCGCCTCCGCCGCCGCCGCCGTGCTGGAGGTGCGGCGGCCATGCGGCGAGGATGTTGAGCCCCGGCGCCAGGACGTCCGGCTTGAGCACGCCCGGGGCGACCTTGCTCGGTCCCCGGGACGAGAAGGAGGCGACGGTGGGCGCCGGGTGGACGCTGAGCAACGTGTTGTCGAACACCACGGTGGCGTTGGGTTTGCAGCCGCCGGCTGATGATGACGACGACCTAGCGTACTCCGTGATGTTGTGGCCACCGGCGACGGTCACCTGCACCATGCCCGGGCCGTAGTCCTCGAGGACGGTCGTGTAGCCTTCGCTCTCGGTGTTGATCAGCACCACGCCGCCGGCGCCGGTGGCCATCATGGCGCTCACGACGGACTCGTCCTCGACCGGATCGGACTGGCAGACCACGAGGTGGCCGGCGACGCCATCTCCGACGATTCCGGCGAGCTCGTTACATTTCGGTTGCTTCTCCGAGAAGTGGAGTGGGTAGTACGAGGTCGAGGAGTTGGGCTGCTGGGCGAGCGCCTGGCCGTCGACGAGCTCGCCGTTGCCGAGCAGCACGGTGGTGGAGAAGCTCCGGCCGACCGAGCCTGCGGCGACCGTGAGCAGCCACGGCGCGTCGTTCGAGACCGTCGACGGCTCGGGGCCGCCATTGCCGGCCGCGCACACCACGGTGATGCCTCGCGCCACTGCGCTGAAGGCGGCGATGGCGATGGGGTCCTCATCGAAGGGGGGACTCGACCACCTCCCGAGCGACACCGAGAGGACGTCGACTCCGTCCTTCATGGCCTCGTCGAACCCGGCTAGCACGGCGTCGTCATCGCAGCCTGAGCCGTTGCACACCTTGTACATGGCGACGTGCGCGCCGGGCGCGATCCCGGCCGCCGTTCCCGCGCCCAGGCCGCGGTCCGACGCGCCGCCGGCGACGAAGTTCCCGGCGGCCGTGGACGCGGTGTGTGTCCCGTGGCCGACGTCGTCGTCGCCGCCGCCGCCGCCGTCAACGAAGGACTTGACGCCGACGAGCTTGTTGTTGCACCGCCGCGTGGCGGCGACGGCGCAGGAGCCCCTCCACCTCGCCGGCGGCGGCGGGACGCCGCGGTCGTCGAAGGAAGGGTGCGCGGCGTGGACGCCGGTGTCGAGCAGCCCGACGACGACGCCCTTCCCGTAGCCGGCGACGTCCCTCCAGAACCCGGCGCCTCTCGTCAGCCCGAGGAACTCCGGCGTGTGCGTCGTCATGAGGCGCAGCGTCCGGCGCCCCGGGAACGCGCGCACGAACCCGGGCTTCTTGGACACCACGCCGGCGAGCTCGGCGGCGGTGAGCCTCGCGGCGAAGCCCTCGAACACCTCGGTGTAGGAGCGGATGATCCGTGCCTGATCGGCGCCGTCGTCCATGCGCCGGCCTCCCGGCAAGAAAGACTCGTGCCACCGGCGGTGCCCGTCGTCGTCCGTGGCCGCGCCGTGCGGCGGCGGGTCGACGAGCACGATGTAAGTCCGGTAGGCGTCGGCTGGCGGCGGCGGCGTGCCATTCGGAGTACGGACGACGCTGCCTGCTTCACCTGCATGGATATAGCAGAGTGCAGGTGCAGGAGAGAGCAAGGAGGCTAGAGCCAGTAACACAAGAAGATTGATCATGAGATTTGTAAAGGATGACATTGATGGGAATGCAATTAAGCTAGCAAGCCAAGCTTCATCTTTATATATACATATAGATATCAATCATGAAGGCAAAATGAAGCACACTACATATCTCAGCAGGATTAATTGCATTCTCGTTTCTCTGAATCGTTGTAGATGGGGCTTGCATTTATTTTCGTGTGATCAAATAATCAATTGAGCATAGGATGGTTTATGTATTAAAGGCTTGGATTAATTTTCTCCCTCCACCTTTCCAAGACAAAAAAATATTTAATATGCAGGGAGGGATGCATATCTATATCAGTATACAATTTGGTATAAATGTAGATTTGAAAATCAAACCAAAACAAAGGGTATGTATTGTTAAAGATATGAAAGTTATATGTCAGAAAATCTTTGCCATTAAGACATAAGTCTCTGTATTAAATGCCCAACTTGATGCATATACTCCCTCCATACTCATAAAGAAAGTTATTTAGGACAGCGACACGGTCTCCAAAACACAACTTTGATTTCTTGTTTTTATAAAAATATTTATTGAAAAGTGATATATGTATACTTTTGTGAAAGTATTTTTCAAGACAAATCGATTCATATAATTTTTACATTTTCAAACTCAACAACTTGAGAGTTATTTATGATTTATATTCCTAAGATTTGACTTAAACATTGTCCTAGACCACTTCCTTTATGAGTATGGAGGGAGTACCTTATGACCTGGCTATACTTATGACGTCATATTATATAAAAAAAGTTCAAATCTTTCAACAGTATTTACACTATAAATTCCATATATTACATTGTAAATTTTATATATGTATAGCGTAGTTTTCTTACACAGTAAAATTTGCTGTAATTTTTTCTTATATTCAGGATACTGTTATTATCTGCTTAAATCATATAAGCAAAAGGACAACGACAAAACTTTAGTTTGCATCACATGATGAAAAAATTGATTGAAATCAACCGAAAAGGTGGTGCCATAATTTTACCAAAACTGTTTAGTTTATTAGCATTTTGGCTCTTTATTGATTTGAGAATTTGTTTTATTATTAATGTGAGAAATTTTAGCTTTCCCGATTAATATGTGAATTCCTGGCCTTTGGCCTCCTGAAATTTCCGTGGAAGTGCTTCTATGAGGGCCTTCTTCAGTTAGTATGAATATATTTTATGATTTTCTCAAATTGAGTAGTTTAGCATAGTTCCTGTTAGAAATATGGTCATATATCGGCATATTTTAATTCAAAATATTATGACAATAATCATGGCATGAACAATGTGGGGTGATCTAATGATAAAATGTAACATAACCAGAGCATGCTTAAAGTATAATAAGCATCATGAACATACCAAGAACGCAATTCTAACAGAGGTATCAAAGAATGAGTTAACAGTAGCAGAAAGATATACCCCGAGAATGTCTCTCCGCTGGATTGTGAGGCAGAACTGCCTCCGTTGACGTTGACGTTCGCAGCGGCTCCGGCTCCCGGCGCGCCATCTCCAGGGACGGCGGTAGCTGCGCCGGCTCCAGGTGCAGACATGGTGGAGACGACGACGAACAGAGCAGAAGTCGAGAGCAGTCGTGCGGAAGCACTCCCCAAAAACTTGATCACCCGCCTACCTGGTACAGATCTCAGGCGAAGGTATGGTTCCGGAGGCCCTGCTCGTTCCGATCTCTCGTGCACGCAAGCGATCAGAAGCGGGGAGGCAGAACAGAGGCAGCACAAGCGCGCGGAGGAGGAAGAACACCAGCAAGAGAAAGCAAGCGAGAGAGTTCTGATCGGATTAGCGGCCTCCTTATATAGCACGAGTGATTCCGCCAGTTGCCGCACACGCCATTATGGAGGCAATCGTGGGATCGTGGGATCGTGCACGCGCCGTTACGGAGGCAATCGTGGGATCGTGGGATCGTGGTTGCAAAAAGGGTAGAGGCAGGCGCAACGCACGCCCGCCACGCCATTCCCACGCCCTCGCCCCGGCCCGGCCGGCTCGGCGCGCGCGCGTGTGGCTTTCCGATTCCCACCTCAACCGGTCAACAGGGAGCCTCCAATAACTCCCTATTTAAGTTGAGATACTCCTCGTTTAATTCCTGAGGTGGTATTATTATCCTTAACATTTATTATGGGCCTTTGAGATTTAATAGAATAAATCGGGCCTAGTCCAATTATTCTAACAATCCCCACCAAATTTCAAGGCTCATAAGAAATATTCTCAAGGTTGTGCCTGTTTGATATACCAGTGTTTTGGTGGAGACTGTTAAGTTGAACTTCCACATAGGAAATGAGCTACATCAGACCACAACTGAACAATGGACTATGCCTTGAATTGTCAGTCTTGTGTGATCAGGTTTCACTCAAACCCTTGACTGGTACTGGGCTCCCGTTCGCATCCCCTATGTTTGGAGCATATAAGTCAAACTCCAGGCCTTTTCATGAGTATCTAGAGATCACCCAAATCTCATAGACTTTGACTAGCAGTCAAACTCATATAGGTGTGTTCCTTCTGAGATGTTCTGCAGGTCAACATCTCTGCTTAGAAAAGCCACTCGGATCACATTAAGGCATGAGCCATCCTACCATGCAGAAAAGAAGAGAAGTACATCATGAAAATGAGCCCTTTTCAAGGGTCTCTTCTCTCAGTCACACAATAGTTTGTTTCGCCATCCAAATTCACGGGATCTCCGATCACAATAGACAGGTTTCCACTATTGTGCAACCTTAGGTGGGTATCAAGCCCATTTCCCTCGATGCACTGTCTATCACATTACGTGGTAGCCCCTTGGTAAACTGATCTGCCAGATTTCTAGCTGTTTGGACATAGTCGAATGCTATCACTCCGGAGTTTTTATGCTTTCTAACAGATTTCAGTCTTCTCTTGATATGCCTAGATGACTTCATGTTGTCCTTTGAACTGTTCACTTTAATAATCATTGTTTGATTATCATAGTTCATTAGGATAGCTGGCACTGGTTTTTCAACCATCGGCAAATCCATCAGGAGTTCACGAAGGCACTCGGCCTCAACTGTCGCAGTATCTAGTGCTGTAAGTTCTGCTTCCATTGTTGACCTCGTTAAGATGGTCTGCTTGCAAGACTTCCAGGAAACAACGCCACCTCCAAGTGTGAACACATATTCACTTGCGGCTTTTATCTCATCAGCATCAGATATCCAGTTTGAGTCACTATACCCTTCTAGTAATTTTGGATACCTGGTATAGTGAATTCCATAGCTCATAGTGCCCTTTAGATAGCGCATAACTCTTTCCAGAGCCTGCCAATGATCATCTCCCGGATTTGAGACAAACCGGCTCAGCTTGCTTACAGCAAATGAGATGTCAGGCCTCGTTGCACTAGCCAAGTACATCAATGAACCAATGATTTGAGAGTATCTCAGTTGATCCCTTGCTATTCTTCGGTTTTTCCTTAATAGCACGCTGGGATCATAAGGAGTAGGAGCTGGCATGCAGTCACTATATCCAAAGCGACTCAAAACCTTGTCCACATAGTGGGATTGCACAAGTGTAATCCCACCCTCATCTCCTCTTAGTAGCTTAATGTTAATAATAACATCAGCCACTCCCAAATCCTTCATTTCAAAACTCTTGGACAGAAAGTCCTTGACCTCCTCAATCACATTGAGGCTGGTCCCAAAGATCAATATGTCATCGACATATAAGCACAAGATCACTCCTTCTCCCCCACCATAGCGATAGTACACACATTTGTCAGCTTCGTTCACAACAAAGCCAACAGATATAAGTGTGGTGTCAAACTTCTCATGCCATTGCTTAGGTGCTTGCTTAAGGCCATACAAGGATTTCAACAGTTTACAACCCATTCCCTCCTGACCTTCTAGTACATACTCGTCTGGTTGATCCATATAGATCTCCTCCTCCAGCTCTCCGTTTAGGAAAGCTGTCTTAACATCCATCTGATGGACGAGAAGACCATGAGAGGCTGCCAGAGCAAGTAGTACTCGAATCGTGGTCAAGCGAGAACCTGGTGAGTATGTGTCGAAAAAATCCTCGCCTTCCTTTTGGGTATAACCCTTGGTCACAAGCCTTGCCTTGTACTTTTCAATTGTACCATCAGTCCTAAGCTTTTTCTTGAAAACTCATTTGCATCCTACAGGCTTGCACCCATATGGATGCTCAACGACTTCCCAAGTACCATTAGACATAATCGAGTCCATCTCACTGCGTACTGCTTCCTTCCAGTAGTAAGCGTCAGGAGATGAATATGCCTCTTCTATGGTTCTTGGGGTGTCATCCACGAGGTATACAATGTAGTCATCTCCAAAGGATTTTGCAACCCTTTGTCGCTTACTCTTACGAGTATCTACAATGTTGTCCTCCTCAGGATTTCCCTCAGGCGTTTGATCATTGTGTTCTATCGGTGCAAAGTGCTCATGGGGTATAACAGTTTCTTGACTAGAAGTGCGAGGTGTATGTTTCATGGGAAATTCATTCTCAAAGAATGTAGCATCCCTAGACTCAATAATTGTACCAACACGCATGTCGGGTACTCCAGAGTTTACTATTAAGAATCTATAACCCACACTGTGAATAGCACAACCAATGAACACACAATCAACAGTATTTGGTCCAAGTTTTCGCTTTTTAGCTATAGGTACACTTACCTTGGCCAAACAGCCCCATGTTCGTAGGTATGAGAGATTTAATTTCTTCCTTTCCCATTCCTCGAATGGTGTCACATCCTTATGCTTCATTAGAATTTTATTCAGGACATGACACGCAGTCAAAACTGCCTCACCCCACCATTCCTTGGAAAGCCCCGTAGTGTCTAACATGGCATTCACCATCTCAGTTAGAGTACGGTTCTTTCTTTCGGCCACCCCATTTGATTGGGGTGAATAGAGAGGCGTCCTCTCATGAATAATTCCAAACTCTTCGCAAAAGGATGCAAACTCATTGGAAAAATACTCCCCACCTCTATCAGACCTCAACCGTTTGATTTTCCTTTCAAGTTGGTTTTCTACCTCAGCTTTATAGGTCTTAAAG